TAGGAAGCTCATTTGTCCCGGTTCGTGGCTGGAACTGGGACTAAAGCCCAGCCTTCTGTCCCGGTTCGAGCCAAGAACCGGGACCTATGTTTGTGGGCCAGGAGCGAGGCCCATTGGTCCCGGTTCATGCCAAGAACCGGGACAAATGGGCCCAGAAGAACCGGGACCAATGCCCACGAGGCCCAGGCAGGCCCCCTGGGCTCACGAACCGGGACGAATGCATTCATTGGTCCCGGTTCGTGGCAGAACCGGGACTAATGGGCTGGCCACGCCCGAACGAAAGCCCCTTTTTCTACTAGTGAAGCACCTCCACCTCCAGCGAGTCCGCCGTCTCCTCTCCGCCTGTTACTCTGGCGGCCGGTGGTGGGAAGGAGAATCCCAGTGCCTCTGCTCTGGCTAGTAGGTTAAGTTCGGGTTTTGTCCCCGCAGGGCGGCGTTTGCGCGGATGGCAACGCTTCTTCGTCGAATTGTTCTTCCGGGCTCCGTTCCTCCTCAAGTTCATCCATCTGAATGGAATCGACAAAGCTCCAGCGTAGATTCCTGCCGTCTCCTTGGGGTGGTGAGGTTAGGGTTTCTCGTCGTGCATGTGCGGCGGCGAGCTATGGTGCCAGGCACTTCGGATCGAGTCAAGGGTTCAACGACGATGATTGCGGCTTCAGGGAGCTGGTCCTTAAGGGCACGTGCACAAAGACTTTCCTACTGTCGTCGACAAGGTCATGCCGGCTCCGGTAGGGGAGCGATCACAACGGCGCATCGACGGTTTGTTCTGGCAGCAATATTGGTTGTTTGATGGCCTAAGTATCTCGATATAATTTTTATTATGTTCTGGATGCTTTGTACTTCTGATGAATTTTTATAAGACATCCGAATGCTTTTGTCAAAAAAAACCCCATCTACAATTCAGCAGCTTCTACCTTGCACTGTTGTCACGAGGCTAGCCATTCGACATGATGCTGGACTAGGATCTGCCTGATCTCTGTGATGCGCATGCAAGCTAGGTTCATGCCACTAGACAGGATGGGCACGCAAAATTTGTGCCACTAGGCTAGGCTCTCTCATTCTCATAGTTAGTTGAGGTGATCACGGGGACGATTGCTCCTTGGTTCTGAGGTTGTAGCTCTTGTAATGCAGATGCTTTGAATTGTAGAGCACTGCTAGCTGTGCCACTGGTAGTTAGGTGCACACTAGGCTCATCGACCGCTGGCATGCATGTACTAGCTAGGGTGGCCATTTCAGTAGCCCCGATCGCGGGCTCACACGAGGGCATCGTGCATTCCTGTAGCTTTTCTGAGGGGATGCGCCTCATTGGCCAACTTGACCACTTCATTGATCACTTCGACGGCGATGATTGGCTGATAGGTAGAAATGTCTCGTGATGACAGGGAAACGGTGCAAACGAACATGAGTGGATACGACGCATGTACTATAAGAATCTGGACCTAGATTGCGAAAATCCTAAACTTAGGGGAGGTTGGATCATGGGCTGGATGAGGAAAGAGTTTAACTTTATTTTTGAGGGAAATCAAAAGTTTAACTTGAATGAGGAAAAAGTAGCCACTGTCGTGCAAATACTAGAGAGCCAATGCGAACCAACGTGTAGTTGGATGGTTAGGAGGACAGTGATATCCCCTGCCATCAAAGTTCAAGTCACATATTTGACACCGGTGCTCGCATTTTTCTGCATTTATTTCAGGCTTTTCAGCGATGTGCGTCCAGTGAGAGAAGACGTTCCCGTCGACTACAAAGGCATCTGTGGCGACTTCATCAATCTCAACATGATGTGCCGGCTCAGTCTCTCGGAGGCGCTCATAGGGGCAGGGTGCGTGCGTGCATTCGTAGGGATGAGTGTATGTGCGTATGTATGAGTGTCCGTGTCTGTATTGTGTTAAAAAATAGGAAGCCAATTATCCAATGATTGTAGAGCAGCTCAACCCAAATGGTGTTACTATAATCCAACACAATACTCGATGTAGTATATAAGGAAATACACTACTTTTTTTCCTACTTTTTTAGTCCCTTGAGAAATTGCTATTTCCAACCAAGTCAATTAAATCGCATGTCATGAAACCTACCGTTGGACACGCAAAATTTAGATGCAGTAGAAAGTCTGCAGTTTCTCAACTGCACAAAATTTCTAGGAAGTTATGGAGGTCTTCTTGAGTCACCCCTGCCTCTATACCAATGGCGCCACCTAGTTCGACATCACCATCTTAGGGTCCATTGTATTACCCGTCCCCACGACCATCTTCACCATCTTGCTCCCGGACGACACGGTCAAATAATGCTATCTGCAGCTCCAGATGGGCTCGCTCGCGATGGAGGTGACCATTCTTGCCAAAATTGTGCCCATGTTCGACATTATACAATTCAATTCAAAAATGACGATTAGGATACAATTTTAGGTTGAAAACTTGAAAATAGCATAGATAAATTAGATTGGTTTCGAAATAGTATAGCCTTATTAGTATCATGCATACACCTTAAAGAAACCGGTGGTCAAACTTATATTTTGAAAACCATGCTAGTGTCCAAAATGTCTTTACCACCTCTCATCATCCACATCTACTAACATCGTGAACTACTTCCACGTTGCTTTATACCTCATCTCCATCATCTGCAGCTTATTCATTGACTGAAAGATCGATCGACATCTCACCATCGTCATCTTCAACGCCATGGCAACTTACTGCGGTATGCTGGCTTCATATTGGCGTTCATTGCATCAATAGTCACCATCTTCGTCTTCTTAGCGTGCCATGGGGGAGCTTGGTCATGATATATGAGGTGAAGAATATCTTCAAGCTGCCCATATGTAGAAGTTAATGCTTGATGCGTATTTTACAACACGTTAGGGCCTTGAAGGGAATGGATGCATTCAAGAGCTATTTTGCAAAATTATTAGCACAAATCTTGACGGAATCAACGATCTAGATAATTCTTGTACATCCAAGTAGGTGTGGACTTGAGTTTTCACCAGCAGGAGAGTGTGAACCTACACATGGTGTACTTGGAGCTCGCCATGGTTGGTATGGTAACGACGAAGAAATCACCAATGGAGCCCCATTGACCCACGAGCTGAACACAGGGCTACCCCCTCCTCCCGCGTCGACCTCAATAGTGCACATTACACAAGCACGGATGCATGACCCATACAAAAGCACACGCATATCGCGCGTTAGTGTAGATGGACCACAAATACCCAGCCGCGATGCACTGAAGGGCTCCCTTTCTAAGAAGCTTAGTAGTTGTAAAGATGTGCAACACGTACCATGCATCGTGTACGGTCTGATGCCCACAAATTTTGTCCATGCTAGGGCCTTATAGCCCGCCCCCTAGGACATAGGTATTTGCAAACTAAATACAAAAAGGTGTCTCTCACATCCATTTCGTAATCAAGATGACATCGCCTTCATCGGATCTCTCTTTCTGCACCTTTTCTGCAATTTGCATGATGCATGATTGCTTGTGATACTAGCCAGTGATCGACCCCATAAACTGCACACGGCGTTATTGTTTGCATGGGATGCATGCATGTTCCAAGCCTAGAAGCATTCGTTTTCCTAGGATCTAGGCTTTGCTTTGCGGCTCCTAGTTGGGTCTACGCTGGACAGTGCCATGCAGGTAATTTGAAAGTTTTTCATCAATAAATAAATAAATAAATAGAAGTTCCCTTTTTTTTAAGGACCCGAATATATTATAGAGGTTCATGAAAGTATAAAGCACTCTAAACATAATAAAAAAATATGCCGAGGACATTGGACTACCGAACAACCACTACCGCAGTCAGAACAAGCCGTCAATGCACCGTTGTCGCCGACCCCTATCAGAGTTGGTCCGACCTTGTCGATGACAGCCGGGAACTCTTCATGTACGTGCCCCTAAGGACCAATGATGCAATCTTCGACATCCTTGAGTCGATCCGCAGTCGTCGCATATGCATGGCGAGAAATTTAACCTCGCCGCCCCAAGGAGACAACATGAATTTACGCCGATGCTTCATTGACTACGTCTCAACGGACGAACTCGAGAAGGATTG